GCACAGCTAGAAAACTCATGCTCTCATGCCTAGTGTCATCAGTTTTTCTGGTACAATACTTTTTATTGAAAGTTTTAAAAATAGCAAACAAACTGGTCACCCATGCAGGGGGAATCACAACTGGAAGCATAAGTGGAGACATAGGTGGGATCACATACATCATGAAAATGTTTGTGTAGTAAACAATCAACAGGTCAACCTTGAGGTGTGGACCGCAGATCCACATGAGACATCTAGGTCTGAGGGCCTAGGGACACACTAAAGAGGAGCAAAAAAAGAGAAGAAATAGAAAAAAAAACGGGGGAGAGGAGAAAATTTGGGGAGGAAGGAGTGGGTAAGGTTCCCGCAGTAGTGTGGTCAGTTTTTAATAGGAAAGCAGGGGGACTGGCAGGAACATCAGGCATTTCACACAAAAGGAAGCAATACAAAGATACAACAGGATACGTTTCATACAAGTACTTGGTACAGCAGGCACATATCAGGAATATGAATTGTTGGGTTTACATATTACATATTCTTTAAGAGAGGGTTGTAATTTTAAAATGGAAATTTGCAATATTCTTTTAACCAACTCAATGTATCAATAACATGGGTCTTTCATGTGTATCTGTCTTATAACAACAGCAAATCCCTGTTCTTAATATTGACCATGAATATTAAGGCCCCATTTACATTTGTGAATAGGGCCATTAGTGATGACACACGGAAGACTCAACATTCAGCTGTGGGCTGCAGCCCCATTAAAAGCAATGGGACATTGACAGCTTCCGCAGCTATTCTTAGGCACTTGCATGTAATATCTCAAGCAATGACTACTTGCGAATGATCAGCTCTGGGCGCGGACAGTCTGCTTCCATGGATAATCACTCAATGAGCAATTATACACAAGTGGCCATGTTTAGCTATGGATACTGTAAGCCTTCCATTGCTTTAAATAGGACTTACAACTCTGCATTTAATCACAGGGAACCCTTGCCAATGGCCCCATTCACAATGTGAATGTGGCTTAAATATGACTATTTTGATATAACAGTGAAACAATGACAATACCAAATTATTATCAGTAGGTGTTATAGCAGGTAAAAGGTGAGTTTGCATCTTCCCATTTTGGTAAAGCCTTTTTTGTAGCATTAAGCGAGTGTGTTGTCATGTACCAACATGCCTTTTCTTTGTGCATTGGCATGCATTTTGACACATTTTCAATGCATTTTTTAATTTAGAATTTGAAGTGGATAGGGTTAAACACCATTCATCAAGGCTTGTTAATGCCTGTAGCCAAAGCATTTAAACACATCATGTTGTATGCATTTTGATGCTTTGCAATTGATGTCTAAGGGCCTCCCAATGACCTAAAACACATAAAAAAAATCTAACATACTGTAATTTTTAAAATGTGCTGCAGTGCAGGGCTGAGATGGCAACAGACACTGTGTTCATTATGGGGAACAACAGCACATGTTTTAGGGTGTCAGTGAAATTGAAGGATATTGCTAACTGAGAATGTATAAAATAATTTATTGTGCTCTCTGTGATAATTCCAGTTATACAAAATCAAATATTTTAAGAAAATTTAACTGTGTTTACAATTGCAAGCTTTTCACTGTTTTTTTGAAACCTCATCTGGACACACATGAAATGCAGTCAGTGGTCAATTGTGGTAACGAATGCCTTAAATGAAAAAGATCTTTCAGATTTAAGTGACAAATCAGTGCTTATAGTTTATTATGCAATTTCAAAACAAGTTTTTTGTAATATAGTTTTGCATTTTATTTACATTTTGCCCCGTTAGCAGAAGCATAATATCCAATTAACGTGACTTATAATAGGTGGCAGAAATAGTTTAAGAAGCAAACACCTCCACTTCTCTCTCTCCACTATTCTAATGAAGATCATTAGCCCCTTCACTGTGAGATCCTAGCATGTGGGCTTTAATGAGATGATTAAGGAACTAGTGAAGCAGTGCAACTCAAGCGAATCACAATTAGTCTTCATAGTTTAAAAATGTTAATAATACGTTTGTTTAAAGTGTACTGTGCTTTTAAAAGTCTGATTCCCGCTAGGCTTAATTTAGTTCTATCAGCAGTGCATGCTAAAATAAAAGGTTGAAGGGCTATGTGAAAGCGTGTTGCGTATGTTCAAGCTTTAATTAAAATGCATGCTGAGTACACACTCATTTAAAAATAAATAGTTTTTTGCTGTTTCATTTACATAATCAGATCTTTGAACATTTATAAGTGTGGAAAAAAAGGGTTTTGTAATATATCTATCTTAATTGCTGTACTGTTTTACTTTGGTAGAATCCCATATGAAAGTTATGTTTGTTTGGTTACACAACAATCACAGGAAGGATTCTGGTTACAGCTTGATTAAAGGGATGGAACACTGAAAACCTACATGCTCCAAGAAGAATATTTTGTCTGGTTTATCCCGCTGAGTAATCTGGCTGTTATTTGACATAACATATACTATGAAACCCACCAATGTGAGAATAACAGACCTCCTAAAAGATTTGTGCAGATAATTATTGCCTTCAGCTAAGATTTTTAAATGCTTGTGGTTATTTGGTAACTGGAAGGAGCATACAACTGATGTCAAATAAGTTTTTATGTCCTTTTTCCTAAATAAACAAGATACCAGGTAATCACAGAAGCAATTCTAAGGAAGTGCAGTAAGACTTCCGGGGGTCTAATTTTACATACCTGACTCCAGCTTCCAATCCACTTTTTTGCATTGTAAACAGATCCATGGGTATACACACAAGTTCTCTTGATACATCATACAGTGGTGTAGCCTGGGTTGTCAGCACCAACTATTGCACTCCTTAACCCATGGACCATTAGCACTTTCTGAGTCACTTCCACATACAGTATATATAGTTCGTATGATACATAGTAAGGCAAATCATCTTCCCCTTTCAGCACAAATCTCTGTGACCCAAAAATACCTCTTCTAAATGAAAATACTCTTCCCACTTCTAGCACAAATACTATCCCCTCCAATGCCTCATCCCTTGTAACACAAATCCTCACCCCTTAAACCAGGGCTCAAAATTCCAAGTCCTTAGCTACTAGTCAGGCCTTAAGAGTTACTCGCCACCAGTTGCCCCACCCAACCCCTACCCTTCCCCGCCCCTAAACATGCCCTCATAAATTATCTCATGAAATGACACTGTGAAATGTTTTATGCAGAATAAATATTAACAACAACATATTTAATAATATTAATAAAGCAATGTAAACCCCTCCTCCATCCCATGTCTTTCTCCTTCTCCAGTCCCATCTCCCCCATCCCATGTCCTCCTCTACCAGTCCCCCTGTACCATCAGAGCCCCCCCTTCCGTACCATCACAGTTCCCCTTCACCATCAAAGCCCCCCTGTACAATCAGAGTTCCCATGTAACATCAGAGCCCCCCTTTACCATTAGATCCTCCCGTGCCATCAGAGTCCCCCATTACCATCAGAGCCCCCATTTACCATCAGATTCCCCCTGTACCATCAGAGTTTCCTTTTACCATCAGAGCCCCCTCCCCCCCCGTACCATCACATTTCCCCTTCACCATCAAATCCCCCCCTGTACCATCAGAGTTCCCATGTAACATCAGAGCCCTCCTTTACCGTCAGAGTCCCCTTGTACCATCAGAATCCCCCATTTACCATCAGAGCCCTCTTTACCACTGGAGCCCCCCTTTACCATCAGAGTCCCCACTTACAGAAAGAGCCCTCTAGCTGTGCTGGAACTGTGCATGGCAGGGAAGGAGAGGAGGAAAGCAGAGAACAGGTGTGGCTTGACCAAGAAGGCAGAGAGGAGTAAAAAAGGAGACTGAAGCAGAATAGAACATATACGCTGGAGAGGAGGGGAGAGATTGTCGGGGAAGAAAGTGCAGCTGCAGCCAGAGAAAAGAGATCTAACATGTCATATGAGAACCAGCTTGTCAGGGAGTTGAGGTTGGTGCGGCAGCACTCTTTACACAGTGCCGGCCCGCACATGTTCCCCTTAGTGAGAGACCCGGAAACACTTGAACCTGAGGCTGAGGGAGGAGAGCAAAACACTGCGGGTGAGCGGGGAGAGGAATGGGAAAACGGTGAGGGTGATTGGTGCACAGGTCTGGGACATGGAGCGCCGGGGTCTGTCTACCCAGCTGCCTGTGCTACTTTATAGTGGCTCCAGCTTTGCCAGTGACTCACCCCCACATTATTTCCACTCACCAAATGCGAGCAGGAGAGTGGAAATTTTAAGGCCTGCCTTAAACCATCTCTCACTCATCTAGCACAAATCCTTTTCTCTCCCAAATATCCTACTAGCCCAAATTCTCTTACCAATCAAATCTTTAACTGCCTCCCCACCCCCACCCCATCCAGGTCATATGGCTACAGTGCAAATTTCCCTCCCTCAGATCAGTGCAGCTCAATACAGGGGGACATCCCTCCTCCTCCTCTTCTGCATGATACACCTCGGAGACGAGGAGAAGTTTAGCCCCCCTCTGCTCTGGCATGTATTTGTGTTACAGAGAGCCAACAAGGAGAAATATTGGTTAATGCAGAGGGGAAGATAATAATGTTTAGGAACCTAGGGCACTCCGCCACTGCCAGGTGAATTTGTGGAGCCAAGTCCAAGAACCTGTTCTGGCACTGGGCTCTGGAATTTAGTCCATATCCACGGGACACTGGGATTTTGTTGAAATCCCAGGACAGTCCCTCAGAATGGTTGGGATATAGGATTTTGTGTCCAGGGCAGCTGCCTCTGACTACACCCAGAACAGGTAAGTCTACATTTGTAGCCATGGCAGTATTTTGTTAAAGCACACTGGCACCATTTGAAAGTCAGCAAAATATTAACGACTTGGGAGTAATTTTTTAATTTTAGGTTTATTCGTTTTTAAACTTTTCCCTGCCACCAATGTAAGGCTTACATCGAAGCAACTCTGCAGCATGCAGGCTAAGTAATCCTTATGTTGGCTATATTCCCCCTTCTATTATAAGTTCATGGTTACTTCATCGACCATAAACTTATAGCAGATGTGTTATCCAAATTCTTCTGAAAAAATAAATACACTACATTGCCAAATGTATTGGGACACCACTACAAATTACTGGATTCAGGTGTTCCAATCACATCCATGGCCATAGGTGTAAAAATTCAATCACATAGGTGTGCAGACTGCTTCTACAAACATTTGTGAAAGAATGGGTCGCTCTCAGGAGTTCAGTGAATTCAAGCGTGGTATCGTGATAGCTTGCCCCCTGTACAATAAGTCCATCTGTGAAATTTCCTTGCTACTAAATATTCCACGGTCAACTGTTAGTGGCATTATAACAAAGTGGAAGCAACTGGGAACAACATCAACTCAGCCAAGAAGTGGTAGGCCATGTAAAATTACAGAGCGAGGTCAGCATATGCTAAAGCACACAGTGTGCAGAAGTTACCAACTGTCTGCAGTCAATAGCTAAAGACCTACAAACTTTGTGTGGTCTTCAGATTAGCAAAACAGCAGTGTGTAGAAAGCTTCATGGATTTCCATGGCCGAGAAGCTGCATCCAAGCCTTAAATCACCAAATTCAATGCAAAACGTTGAATGCAGTGGTGTAAAGCCCGCTGCCACTAGACTCTAGAGCAATTGAGACTTGTTCTCTGGAGTGATCAATCACGCTTTTCTGGCAATCTGTTGGACGTATCTGGGTTTGGCGGTTGCCAGAAGAACGGTACTTGCCTGACTGCCTTGTGCCAAGCGGAAAGTTTGGTGGATGGGGAATTATGGTGTGGGGTTGTTTTTTAGGGGTTGGGCTTGGCCCCTTAGTTCCAGTGAAGGGAATGCTTAAGGCATCAGCATACAAAGACATTTTGGACAATTTTGTGCTCCCAACTTTGTGGGAACAGCTTGGGGATGGCCCCTTCCTGTTCCAACATGACTGCATACCAGTGCACAAAGCAAACTACATAAAGACATTGATGAGTGAGTTTGGGGTGGAGGAACTTGACTGAACTGCGCAGAGTCCTGACCTCAAGTCAATAGAACACCTTTGGGATGAATTAGAGAGAGGGAGCGGAGACTGCGAGCCAGACCTTCTGGTCAGATATCCGTGCCTGACCTCACAAATGCACTTCTGGTAGAATGGTCAAACATTCCCATAGACACACTCCTAAACCTTGTGGACAGCCTTTGCAGAGGATTTGAAGCTGTTATACTGCAAAGGGTGGGCCAACTCAATATTGAACCCTACAGACTTATGCCCCGTACACACGATAAGAAAACCGTAAGAAAGATTTTGCCGAACCACTGATTGAACGATTTTCTCTTCGTTGATGAGCAGGATGTTTTAACCGACAACGATATTGTGAACGAAAAAAATCTGGTTGAACAACAGTGAAAAATGTTGTCATTTCACATATGAACGACCGATTTTCTATGCGGTGGTATGACGGTTGTATGATAAAAATCTCTCAAGCACTATCACTCATGAGCGGAAACTGAAGATAACCCGGATATTTATGTCCAAGGATTCTTCATAAACATGAACGAAAAATCCAAATGTTAAAAGTAGATTGGCCTAATGAGATAATGAAACCAGAATTATGCATATTATATTTTTATGTATCACTATTTATGTATATAGATAATGTAATAAACTATATTATACTCATTGCTGTTAATTGTTGTGTATATCGCTCGTTCTGGCCGGAAGGCCGTGGCTACAAGGTCACACACACTGCATCACTTCCACTTGTACGGAAGACGTCAACACTGCGTATTGCCCGACAAACTATTTTTTTAGATTGGTTAATGTGGGCCACGGTTTCAACCAACGAACAAACGCCTCTCGGTCATCGGATGACTGATCGGTCGATTTTCTAATCGTGTATTCCCACCTTAAGACTGGGATGGCATTAAAGCTCATGTGCGTGTAAATGGCAGGCTTCCCAATACTTTGGGCGATATAGTGTATAATCCCCCCATTTACAGCACAGTTGGAAATTCAAACAGAAACTCAAAATTGTATGCCCATTAATTTTTTTATTTATTTTTCACAGACTACAATTGTGAATGCAACTTTTTCTGCCCAGCAGTATATATATATATTATGTCAGTTAATTTGAGCAGAATCCCATCATAATTCAAAACTTGAAAGTGTTTGAGTTGAAGCTGTTATAGCTATAAAGGGTGGGCCAACTCAACATTTAACACTACGGACTAAAAATGGGATGCCATTAAAGTTCATGTGCGTGTAAAGGCAGGCTTTCCAATATTTTTGGCAATATAGTGTAGCTATGATTAGCAGATGTCAAGGTGCTCTCAGTAGCTATTCATTAAAATTATGACTACTCTCTCCCAGAATGTTGCCCTGTGTTGTGAGTGGTCCTCCCCACTTTGTGCCACTAACTAATTTCATTTTGCGACATGTAATACTACACCTTTGAGAGCAGCTGTTTTTCAGTCCCCCTTACTTCCTGCACAGGCAGGCAACACGCATTTCCAACTTCCATTCAGAGTCAGTAATTAACCAGTCTATGCTTGTTTTTGTTGCTTCATTTATGGGTAAACAACTTGGATAGGGTCTAGGGGTATATGAGATGCCCAACTTGACTTGAAACAATAACAGGACAAACGTTTCTACTCCCTCCAGAGTGGCATCAGTCTCTTAACGGATCAGTAACACATTCTCTGTAAGAAACACTTGGTCCCCTCTAAGTGAATCTCTTCAGACCCCAGCTAGAAAGTGCCTATCCACCTGGCTTTCTTTGAAGAGTATTCCAGAGAAAGAGATTCTAGAACAGACTTGTAGCACTGTCCCAGGGAGAAGTTGTTGGGTATATACCTATAAGCCCTCTCCCTTGTTGGACCTGGGGGTGTAGAGGTACTCACACTTTGCTTGTGGCCTGTAGCTTCAGATAAACTGTTTTCAGACTTTTCACTGGGTTAGTTTCCTTCCAGGCTGGTAGGCTGTCCTTCCTCAGTGGCTTCAGGGCAGCAGAGCTCCCTCTGTCAACTTCTCTCTCCCATTCTTCCAATCTCCAGGATGGAGGCAGAACCCCCCTTCTCTGTGGTCCTCTCCTAGGCAGCACAGCTCAGCACTCCATCTTCCACCAGCCTCCCCTGCTGGCCAGGCTCTCATACATATGGGCAAGTCTGCCATACTAACAGGCTTTCTGCCTGGGATTGGTCAGACTCCCATAAATATGCAAATCAGCATCTTCTGGCCTTCACCCATTAGCTTCTAGAAACTTCTCCAAGCTTCTAGAACCAGGGGGAGGTACCAGAGGCCTGGCCTGTAGAGCCCTCCAGCTAGTCCTAAAGTAAACCCACTGACTCACACACAGGCTTCTAACAAGCCTCTAACTTCACTACCAACTATGTACACAAGCAAGTGCTACAATCCCCATTGTTCTTCCTCGCTATGCATGTCCTGTGGTCCCCAGGCTCTCCCACTGTCATTCAGTGTCCTCCTATCCCTCTTGATTTACCTGTGCCAAATTACCTGCCCATCTCCTCTCCCATCAGCAGTTGGGTGCAAAGGGAGGGATTAGATTTTCAAGCTGGAGGGTGGTAAACATGTCTCATGTTTACTGCCTCCCTCAGGTTCCTGAATGAAAACAGAAAGGTCATGTGAGCCATGTGTTTACTAGCTCTAGCCTTTGTGAATGAAGACAGGAGCACTCTGTACAGAGTGTATCCGTGTTCATTGAGTGTCAGGCAGCAGAGTTACAAGTACAAAATATAAAAAAGACAGAAATAAAAAATGCACATATACATATACACCATACACATATGCACTACCCGCATTGTGGTAATCTATGTGTGTTGGTACACTGAGGTGCATTATGGTGTCTATTACATGCATGCTGGTGTGCTCTGTGCTCATGAGCTGCATTGTTTTGTTACAACGCATTGCAGTGCTTTATTTTTTTTCTTCTTTTTTTTAACATTTTAAAAATTACATTTATGCAGTTTTATGAGCAACAGCATATTGCGATGCTTTGCTGAGTGCTGTACTGTTCTGTGTTGCAGTAAAATGTATCCTTGCATCATTTTATCACACTGTCACAATGCAGAACAGTCAAGGCATTGTGGATTTAGAATTACTGCAATGCATAGGTGCGAAGCCAACTTCCAGCATAAGTTGCTTATTTACATGTTTGAATATCTTAAAACTTCTATCATTTATCAAAAAAGGGAACAATTTTAAATGTACAGTCCTGTACTTTCAACAAATGCATAGTTTGGAAAGGAAAGGGTTTGGGTAAAAAACTGTAAATGAAAAATGGTAAATAATTGGAAAAATTGCAAAAATAGTCTGATCGACTACTGGAAATTAAGGTTCCATGCATAATGGCGTTTTAATAACGCTGGTAACATTAGCTAGTTAAAGGTTTTTATTGTTTTTTAGCATTTTTGCATTAGTGTTTAGCGGCATTTTGCCATTTTTTTTTTACGCTTTTAACCCCCCCAATTATTTTTGCTCAAAAAAGTCCACATTTTGCAGTGTTTTTCACCGTTCTCTTGACTTCTCTTGAAACCCACTAGATCTGGGGTTTTTTTTCCAGCCAAAAAACGTCCCTGCCAAAAAACGCTGATTACAGCCTGTGTGCATGGACACATAGTATAACATGCTGGGGAGTTTACTGGCTGTAGAAAAAAATTTAAACAGCAGCTGTAAAAACATCCAGTGTGCATAAGGACTGCATGGTAAATAGTGGCAAACCGGTATTTTTTTTAACTTTTTTTGAGCAAAATAAAAAATTTTTTGGTAAAGACAATGCTATAAATGCAAACGTGGCAAAACACTAATGCAAAAATGCTACAAAAAAACCCCAAAAAACTCACATTTTTAATGTGACTTTACACAGCTAACATTACCAGCGTTATTAAAATGCTTAGTGTGCATGGAGCCTTAAAGGTAAGTGCAGGGTCTGGCAGTTAAAGGATTGAACTGATATGTTCCACCTGTGGGAGGTTTTTTTTTCCTTGCTATTCATGAAAAATCTTTGTTTTACAAAGAAATGCTTATTAAAAAGGTTAAGCAATGACATTGGCATCACTGAAAATTATAGATTTTCTAAAGAGAGAATAAAAAAGAAGCTGTTTGCTTTCAAACTGAAATTTCATGTGTCCCCATCTAAACTGGGCGGAAAGTGAGTTGAAGATATTCTGCTTTTGGAAATTCTCAGTATTAACACAACATGTTTTTCATTTAGAAGTGACTAATTAAGACCAGCTCATTTTCCCCCAAACTGAAGTTGTAGCAAATCGGGAGTTCTCAGTGAGTAGATGCATCTTTGATGACTGCAATTCCCTGTTCACTCCACCATGCTATGTTATTGTGAGGTGCATCAGATATGTGTGGAAACATGTATGAAGAGCACATATGTACCCAGTGTTAAATTATTATTATAGGTACTTATATATCACCATCAATTTATGTAGTTCTTTACATATATATTGTACATTCAGTCCCTAACCTTCAAGGGGCATACAATCTAAGGTCCCTAATTTACATTTATACATACACATACTACGGCCAATTTAGACAGGATACAATTAACCTACCAGCATGCCTTTGGAGTGTGGGAGGAAACCAGAGTACCAGG